AATGTACAGATGGTTAGGGAGTTCTACGCTAACTGCCCAGAGCATGAAAATGGGGTGGTCACAATACGAAACACCCAGGTAAATGCGTCCCTTGAGGCCATCCGTCGAGTATACCGGCTGCTATTATTCACTGGGGATAGAGATACTTACATTACTTATCATCGCCTACTTACATTACTTATCATCACCCTACTATCTGGTGGGCACCGATTCTTGAAGCAATATGTTTGCCTGACATGGAGCATATATGCATAAAGCACCGAATCACATTGAACTCACAATCTCTCAATTGGGAGGCTAAGTGTTGGCTCACAATTATCAACAGTCGTTTGCTACCCTCCAGCAACACTACCGATGTTAATGGGCCATGAGCAGCAGCTATCTACTGTTTTATGACCCACCAGGATTTTGATTCGCCAAGCTCCTCCATGATGAGATGTTCATTCGCTCCCTAGAAGTACTCAAAGGGTTCTACTTCCCCTCTCTAGTTACCAAGTTGTGTCGTGCTACACGAGTCCCTGAAAATTGAGTAGATGGGAAATTGCCATTGAAAGCCCCATTTTGGGATATCAAAATCACAGTTAGGAAAGAGCCGATAGTGATGGTTGAGGATGATGATGAGGCTGATGAGGATGCTGAGGATACTGCTGCCCCACCATAGCCGAGAGCTGATGAGGCGGGCCCATCACAGGCCCGCCGAAGTACCCGCATGACATCCATGGAGCAAGAAATGGCTGATCTTCGCACTTCGATCACTAACCTAGGCACCAGAGTTGACAATTTGACTACTCAACATGCCAAGTCGGAGAAAAAGATCATGGGCTGGCTCCGGGCACTAGGACGAGCGTGTCACCTCGATCCTAGCACCGTATCTGATCAGGGTTGAGCATCAGGGAAGTCCCATTACCTTACTATGTTTTATATTTGTTGACATGGGGACATGCCACAATTTTAAGTGTGGGATGGGGGATGGTTGTTGTTGTGTTGTTGTAAAATTGTATAACTGTGTATGGTGTTGTTTTTGTTTTTTATTTGTTTGGTATTGTTGGTTTATGTTAGTTAACTTCGACTTGGCCCGAAGACGGACACCTCTCGACAGGTCTCTTAAGGGATATAAGTCGATAAAAAAAAAGATTTTCGTTTGATTAGGTAGTGTATCAACTTCCATTGGTTTTTCTTTAAATCACGGTTCTTTTCCAAGGGATTCTATTTGAACCGGGTATAGTTAGTTTTTCTTTTTAGTTAGGAAGTCTTGGGCGAGGAACAAAAAATGGAAATAGGGACCCTTAACTCTATGGTACCTTGAATAAAGACTGTTTTAGTGTGACACTTAGGCTCTTTAGTTGATTCAAAGAAGGCCTTTAAATTGTGTGTTCCTGAATGGCTCAAGTACTTTGAACAGAGTGCCTGATGATCCTAACTGAATTGAGTCATGTGCCGTGTGTGAGTGAGGTTTTCTATATTCTGTGTTAACATTCAATGCCTAGAACTTGCCCTGTGTGTGTGCAAAGCAAAATGGTAGCCCTGTTTGGTCTGGAAAGTGATATAGGCATTTCTTTGCTTAACCCTTCTATGTATGCTTGTTCCCACTAACTGTGTATACCCTAGTCAACCTCGTTGAGCCTGTAAGCCTGTTTTCCCTTGGCAACCACATTACAAGCCTAACCCGAGTTTAGATAGCCTATCTTGTTGAACCCTATCACCTCTTAAAAGCACTCAAGTGTAACGGATATGGAAAAATATAAGTGTGGGGTGGTTGGTTGGGCTATTAAGTGGAATTAAGGGGATAAAAAAAGGTGCACTGGCGGATAAACAATGTTAGAGGCCACCAGAGAAAAAAAAGAGAAGCTTCAAAGTGGTGGCAGCTATAAAAAGAAAGGTATGCTTAAGAAAAAAATAAATAAGGGGTAACACAATAATGTAATGGTGGAAGGAAGGTGTGATAAAGTGAAGAGCTTAAAAGTACACAATGTAGTGGAGTGCTTAGGGAGGTGTAGTCCCTATACCCAGATGTATCCTAAGGATACCCGTCCTACAGCCAACATTATAACCAAATAAAGTCCTATTTGATTCTAGACCGAATGAGCTCGATTAGTCGAGTATTACACTATGGGCAAGCCTATGATGTGCTGTTTGTGGCATAAGAATTTGTTCCGAGGGTGAGTGAAATGTTGTATTCGAATTCCTCAGTGTGTGGTTTTTAAATGATATAAGTCTCTTTTGTAGTGAGTAGGCACATGATTCATAAAAGGAAGGTAAGTCTGGACCTCTAACTGAGAGTAGGAGAGTTGTTTAGGGGCATTGCGTGGCTAGGAAGGAGTCCACTCTTAAGGCGAGGAGGTTGCGCTGACGTAGTCTATCCATGTGAATTATTCTTGGTATAGGGAGTAGGGAAGTGACTCAATGATGATTAGGCCTATAGAGTGTGGTTTGTTGCTCGAGGACTAGCAACGGTTTAAGTGTGTGGTGTTGATAGTAGGCTATATAGACGCTATTTGCACTCTAAATGTACCATACTTTATTGTTGTTTTAAAGTCTAAATGATAACAAATACTCTAATTGGTGTTTTTTTGCTTCGCAGGGACTAATTCGAGTTAGGAAGAGACTATGGAGTATTTTGGAGTCGATAATGTGGATAAAAGGCAATCAAGAAGAACCAAAGCGAAAATAAGCAAGAAAGAGGTAAAGAGGACTGGGAAAGATGCCACTGCGACCACGCTCGACCGCGGTAGACCAAGAAATTGAGGCAGAATAGTTGCGTTTCACCGCGGTCGCTCCGCGGCCGCGGTCAACTGTGTAACTGCCCAGAATTTTTGGGACTAAAGTGTAAATCGGGGGAAACTTATCCTAACCCTTTATAAACTCAACAAACTTGCCCAAGCAAAGGTTAAGCTTGTTTTTAGACTAATTTAGAGGCAAGAACAAATGTGAGAAGAGCAATCAACCATTAGAGTTTTTCAATCTTCTCTTTGTTATTTCAATTGCACATTATGAATACTTTTGTAGTTTTATCTTGCTTTGCTATGAGTAGCTAAATATTTAGTCTAGGGTTTTGATGGAACCTATTGAAGGATGAACTTCATCTTACGTTAATATAGTTTGCCCAGTTTAATCTTTATTTGTTCAACTACGTTCTTGTTGTAGTTAATTGATAGGATCCTCAATTAGCTATGCCTATTTAGTATGTATTACTCAGGAGAGAGTACATATTTAGGTAATTGTTGAACATCACCACTCCCAAAGTATATGAGGGATCAATAACCGTGGGTTTAAAGGCGGGATTAGGGATAACGAAGCCTTGGGTGTGATCTAAAGTGAGTTGCAATCAAGGCCAGCTAGTGTAACTCGGGAGAGTGTGTCTAGTAAATTGTCGTAATTACTCGGGAGAGATTTACGGTAATAAGAGTGCTCATGATCGATAGAGATGATTAGGCAAATCTATGTGAAACATAACCGGAAGGGATTCTATCAATAGGGGAAATCACAACCTTAGATCCTTCTCTTAATTGTTTACAACTTAATCATAGTTAGTCTTTATTTACTTAATTGCAGTCTGTCATAGTTAGTAAAAATATCCTTAATTGTTATTCAAAACGTTTGGGAAGTTGATTACGTAGAATTTAGTGAGTCTGACAAGAGTAATTGATAGGTTAATTCCTTGTGGGTTCGACTCTGGGCGAAATACTCAGATTATATTTGCAACGTCCGCTTAGTCCTTTTTATAAGGCATAGTTGGGCGTAATCACTAACATCTCACATAGATCGGTAAAAGCTAAAGGGGTCATTCTTATAATATTACGACAAAGTTCGGTTGAGAATAAATGACTCAATAATTCTTGTCTAACTTGTTCACTTTCAAGTCATACATCATGTGTGATCGTACGTCAGTCATTTTCAATTTCACGTACATAAGTCCAAAACCAAATATCTACTAAGCAAGCAGCATATGTAGCTAAAGAGCTCACTTATTCCAATATCTGTCTATTATTTTGGATTATTCCGACCAGCTATCTATAATAAAATTAAGTGAGATACATCAACCAATTAACTACGTAAAATAAATATGAACCGAAAATAAACTCTTCTTCATAGAACACATTATGAAGTATGAAGGAGAATTCAGATACATATTAATAGGATTGTACAAAAAAAGAGAATTCTAGCCAAATATTTCATCACATTACACTAAATTAATTAAGTAAACAGAAAAATATATAAGCAAATTTATTTGTTACAACAGTAGCCACACATAATTCATGTTTTATATTTTTTGTCGGTTTTGACTGTATCAAATTAATAACTTGGTGCTACACTTAAAACCATAATATTAACTTGATAAATTATATCACCAGAACATATAGTTTGCAAATATCATAGATGAACTAACCAGAAAAAATACACAAGAAAAGAGATGGAAAACTAACGTATTGTTTGAGAAAAAGTGTTATTAATAAGCTATGGAGAAGACAAGGTACGAATCTTGATTAAGCAGAAGAAATTGAATCGATATTTAGAAAAACAAAATTCAACCAAATGTCACTACATAAATTATTTCAGATTGGGATGCAAGCAAAGATAATGTTGTAAACATTATTGCCATGTATATAAATGCTACCTTTTTCAGCCAGTTTTTTCTAGGCACTTATTATTTAGAGGAAAATTCCCTTAGCAACAGTGGAATTAGTTAAGAAAAGAGATGAAAACTAACCTGTAAAAACATTGTTGGAAAGAGACGAAGACTAGGGAAGTACGTCGTTGACTAGTTGCACGTAAGAAAAAAGATGGAGACAAAGTACTTATTAGTTTGGTGAATATAATATAAATAATAGGGTAAAGGGTAAAATTGAAATATAAAATAATAAGTGTGGGCATAATTGGAAAGGAAAATACAGAATAATCCCACTACACCAATTTGGTTGTTTCATAAAATAGAGTTTTTCTTGTTCCGGAACAATTGATTTAACAATACAATACAATCAGTTTTATATTAACAATCAAAATAAATATTGTATTTGGGGTAACAATACAATATAACCGGAAACAACCATCCAAACAATACGCAAGAATAAAGGTTAGGAGGTAGCCTATAAAGCTAGAATATGTAAATGACTTTTTCGGATTTGAGGGTGCAAACTTATGTCAGATGACATTCTTTCCCTCTAAATTTAACTGGTGCCTATACTGCAAGGAAGAAAACAAGCAAAAAGTAGGGGCGAAAGGCAGCAAATGGTCAGTCTCTCTGTTACAGTAAACAATTTACAACAGTGAACAAACCGTCAAACCCACGCTGTGATCGGCTCTTTTTTTCTTCATTTGGTAAAGTGAGAATTCTCCAAATTTAGCTTCGCTCTTTGATTGGTGGGCAGTTTTCCCTTCATTTCCTTGTTGAGAAAACTATTCCCATGTTGGCTTAAATTATTTCCTTATCTCTATTGGGTTTCTTTTTCCTGACTTCTTTGTGCTAGTATTTCCAAAATAAGGGAAAATTTTCTGGGGGATTTGGGCCCTTTTTCATATATTTGCTATCTTGATTCTATCGTAAACGATGTCGTCTGATGAGTAATAGTAGTATTAGCATGGACAAGTTTCTCATCTACTTTCGGTGTTGATTTCAATGAAACCCTAGATGGGGGACCATACTAAGGATTAACTACCCTTGTGGACAAAATCTATAATTGCACCAGAAACTTCTTTCACATTTTGAATCTGCTTTCATAATCAAGTGACGAATGCTACGATCATCATTGAATAAACAAAATTAAATCTGCTTTACATCAGCATCAGCCTAAATTGTTCATTATTATCCTTTCAGGCGCTGATGGAAACTTAATCATTCAATATTTATTTGTTTTTGAGAAACAGTGACTGAAAACGATGTCGTGGTGTTAATAAATTGTATACAAGATAGTGTAACCCATATCAGATATTTGTGGTCTCTGACTGAATTTTTATACAAGTCTTTTTCGAGCAGTTATATATCTTTTGTCTCTTAGTCAACCATAGTTTTAAATTCTTGTCTGCTACTGAGAAATCAAGCACCTTGGTAAAAGTTAAAATCACGTTTTCACTTTTATCTGGAGTTGATGATTATTGATTCTTTGTGCTTCCTACTGTGTATTTTGATTATATATTGTCTTAATTTGCTTCTGCTTGCTTTGGGTTATTGAACTGGAAAGAAGCTCGATTAGAAAGAAGACGGTTTTTGCAATTAGTGAGTTACAGCTATGGAGTACAACATCAAGTTTGTGGACAAGCTTAGTTGCATCATGGGCTGATGAGCCTCAATGTAAGGTTTCTTCTTCTGTGTTTAATCTTATTCGATTTTTCTTTTATCGTTTGGCTTCTTCATTCTTGTTCTCCCTATTTTCTGATGAAGCTGGGTATTTGCCCTTTTTGGTGAAATTATGTACTTGTCCGACTAGGAATATGTTGTGGGGTTATGCAGATCTGTTACCCGGTTTCTTGTGCATGCTGAAATTTTAGTGGAGCCGTGTTGTTGTTTCTTTTTGCAATATGGAGTGGAATGTAAAATGGGACTGGGGAGACCTGATGATGTTTGGTTCGGAGGCCTGTGGAAGTCTGAAAGAACTGCAATTAACAGATTGGGGAGTTGATCAAGAGGGAGAACTTGATCGCAGATCGTTCAATCTGTCAGGGTTTGGCGGTAGTGTTGGTGGTTATGGCTCTGACATGGGGCGTAGTTCTTCAATCAAGAGCTCAATATCAGCTTCTACTGACTCTTCACCAAACGAGACGCTGAAAGCATCCAGCTTCACTTTTGAAGCTTCTAATGGCTCTCAAGGGAATCTTGGTAAGGATGTGGAACAGTGCAGAGATGAGCCATATGGATGTTCGCCACCCATGGAGGCTTTGATAGGCTATGATGGACCATTGACTGGTCTGAAACTTGGTAAGCGAACAGTTGAAAGCAACAGTGGTGGAATCAATGTTAAGCTCCCGTCCTCCTCCACAATCCCTGTATCATCTGTTAGTGCAGCAAAGAAAAAAAAATCATCTAGTCAGAATGCACTAATTCCGTGTTGTCTGGTTGAGGGCTGCAATCTTGATCTGTCTTCAGCTAAAGAATATCACCGAAAGCATCGTGTTTGTCACAGTCATTCCAAATGCCCAAAAGTCATCATAGGAGGTGCCGAGCGGCGCTTTTGTCAGCAGTGTAGCAGGTAAAACTCTCATTTGATGGGCCTACATTCGGGCATCTTGTAGTTAGATGTTTNCACGCCGCCGCAAGCCACAGCAGGAAACTATCCAATTTAACTCGACTAGGCTTTCTTCATGGTTTTATGGTATGGTGCCTATGTTAAGATTGGGCTTCTTCTGAACTATAACATGATCATTCATATGAAAAGCTTCAGCAAGAGCTACAGGAGAAGAATAATATAACATGAACAGGAATGTGTGGCTAATTGTCAGTGTTTCTAGTAGAAATTACTTTTCTGGAAAACAACCAATTTCTGTGGCATTTTCTTGCATAACTCCATACATTTTAAGACATCAGATATCAGTTTTATTCAATTAAATAATGCATGCCTTGTGCTCCGACAATTGTCTTTTTCGAAAGTAAGCCCACGAGGTGCTGCATGTGAAATGAGATATGCTCCTTATGTTTATCAATGCTTCTACTGACTTCGGAATATGGCTTTTACTTAGTCTTCTATAGGTATCATACCATCGTGTTTCCTTGCACATGCTCTGCCAGTGGAGGTTTATCCAACTTTTAGTTCGCCTCATCTTACATTTTCCAAGTTCTGTTGTCTTATTATCCCTTTCTTGTTGTGGTGGTGGTTGTGGATATTGTGGTTGGGGTATCAGCAGGGAACTAACTGAAACCTTTTATTTTCAGGTCTCTACCTTATCATCTAACTAAAAGACACTTCTTACATTGTTTTGTTTTGTGCTTAGCCACTAAGTATCATTTTATGTGCTTCTACATTTACAGATAATAGCAAATCGATGAATTTTGTATTCAACAATGGCCTCCTTCTACAATCTAAAACTACTGCGGATTCTACCTGGGGAACCTCTGAAGTTCCCAAGTTCACAATAACAAGAGGGTTAACTTCAAAGCCTTACAGAGCTGGCAGTATTAATGTGCAGTCACTTGTGGGGGGAATCAAGCTTCCAGGGGCTACTAAAATGCAGACCAATGCATCCAAGGGCACCACCACCGAGTTCTTCAGCCAAGGTTTGTTTCACGACCAAGGAATCCCGCCCTATAATTGTTTCTGTTTGTAGTTCTCCTATATTATGCACGAAATTCCATCATTAATCTTTTCTTTTCTTGATCTAATATAAAGATCTCTGCTTTTGTGTTGGATATTACTGCTTTTGTGTTGGATAGACTGCTATTATTGCTTTTGATAAAGGAGCATATTGTGGGGTTCTACAATAATCTTTTAGTGAATCTGAAAATTGGAGGCCAAAGTGGAATAGGGATGATTTAAATAAACTATCAAAGTAGGAAAAAGAATGGATTCAGAGGCCTGTCACAATGGAAGAGGTGGAAAGGGTTATAAAGCTGTTTAAAGGAGATAAGGCACCAGGTCCAGATGGTTTCAATCTACATTTCTTTCAAAAGTGTTGAGTATAGTCAGGGGTAATGTGTGGAATACTGTAGATTTGTTCTTTTAGGAAGCAAATTTTACTAAAAGCTTGAATGCAACTGTCATTGCTTTGATACCAAAAAAGAGGGAGGCAATAGAAATAAAGGATTTCAGACCAATCAGCTTATTGGGGTCTGTATACAAAATCATTGCTAAAGTGCTAGCAGAAAGACTCAAGTTGGTGATAGGGAATTTGATATCAGATAATCAAAATGCATTCATAAGAGGGAGACAGATTGTTGATGAATCAATGGTTGCAAATGAATGTGGAATATTTTCTCAAAACTAAAAGACAAGGGGTGTTATGCAAATTAGATCATGAGAAGACATATGACCATGTTAACTGGGCATGCCTACTAGATATCATGAGACAAATGAACTTTGGGGAAAAGTGGATAAGTTGGATTGACTATTGCATCTCCACAGTAAGATTCTCAGTTATTATCAATGGGAATCCTCAAGGTTTCTTTAAATCTATTAGGGGGATAAAACAGGGGGTCCTTTATCTCCATATTTTTTGTGTTGGTATTGGAAATTCTCAGTAATATGCTGAAAAGAGCAGAGCTAATGGGCTGGATCAGAGGTTTCAATATCAGAAGAAGGGGTGATGTTAACTGTGATATTACACATATCCTCTATGCAGACGATACCTTGATAATTTGTGGAGCAGAGAAAGAACAAATTTTGTACCTAAGGGGGGGTTCTTTTAGCCTTTGAAGCTGTCTCATGATTAAAGGTGAATCTAGCAAAGAGTAGTTTGTTCAGCATTAATGCAGATCACAGTATAGAGGAATTAGCAGATGTAATGGGATTTAAGGTGGAGAATTTGCCTACAGTTTATTTGGGACTTCCCCTAAGTGCTAAGAAAAATGAACAAAGGATCTGGCAGGGAGTTTTGGATAGATGTTCCAGTAAGTTGACTCCGTGGAGAAAGGAGTATTTGTCATTGGGAGGCAGACTTACTTTGGTTAGTAGTGTGTTGGATGGATTTTCAACTTATTTGATGTCTCTATTCCAGTTACTTGCAAGTGTGGAAAAGAAGTTAAATACTATGAGGATTGAGGAGTAACTTCTTATAGGAAGGAAATGCAGATAGAAAGAAGTTACATTTGGTAAAATGGCAAAAGGTAATAACTGCTAAAAAGGGAGGTGGCATGGGGGTTAGAAACTTGAGAATGCACAATAAGAGTTTAGTATATAAATGGTTGTGGAGATAAATGATGGAAAGGAAAGCACTTGGAAAAAACTTATAGATGCCAAATATGTGAAGAAGGATACATGGAGGCATGCAACTGTTCACAGGTCTACAAAAGGTAGCATATGGAGCAATATTAGTAAGTTGTGGAATGAATTTCAACAGCAAATTAGACTGAAGTTGGGAATGGAAGTAAAATCATATTATGGACTTAAGTATGGGTGGGGGTGTGAGGTTAAGTAGCAGATTTCCAAGCCTATATATTTGCTCTATTAGCAAAGATGGACATGTTGCCGAGTCTTACTCCACAAATGGCTGACAATTAAACTTCAGAAGAGGATTTAATGACTGAGAGATGGAAGAAGTGGGACAGATACTCCAATTTTTTAGCACAACGGTGATAGAGCAAAACAAGGAAGATCGATTGGTATGGACATCAAGTAGTGATATGCAATACTATGTTAAAAGCAGTTATAACAACATCCCGAAACAATCTGATTCTTATGATTCTAATTGGCCTTGGAAAATGCTATGGAGAACCAAAGTGGCTTGTTTTGGGTGGGTTGCCATCAGAGAAGTTTTTCTTACGCAAGATAATCTACAAAAAAAGAGGCTCTAGTCTAAGTAGCAGGTGCTATTTATGTGAAGAGCTGGAAACTGTTAACCACCTGTTTATCCACTATAAAATTGCTAAACAGTGCTGGGAGCTTTTCTTGAATCTGTGTGGTGTTTCTTAGACTATGCCTTCAGACATATAATCATTATTGTTTAGCTGGCAAAGACAGACAGAAGATAATAAGAAGTAAGAAGCAGCTTTGGATAACCATTCCTTTATGCATCTTCTGGACCATTTGAGAAGATGATAGTGCTGGCTTTGCGAATAGGAGAATTCGCATCTATAGAATTAAAAATAATTGTATGCAAAAATTATTTTTTTGGTGTAAACGACGTTTAGTTGAGAGTGTGGATCAGTATTTAGAGTTTTTGGATTTATTAGGAAACTTGTAACTGAAGTTCTGCTGCTTCAGGTGTTTTACTGCTCTTAATGTAACCTTTGTACCATCATGGTACCTTTATTAACAAAATCTTTACCTTATCAAAAAAAAAATTTACTGCTAGTTCCCTCTAAAGATTTCTATCAAGTTATTGGATAATTACTAATGAGCTTTTTGTGGCTGCAATAGTATCTAAGTATAGCTTCCGATATTTGCATTATAACCACATGGCTTGCAAGAGTACTGAACCTTCCTGGTGAACCTATTGGATAAATTTCATATTCTGAATGTTCCTTTTCTGACACTGACCTATATCTGATGAGTGACATAGAAGCACCCTATTGAAAGCTTTACTTTTATGCCATAGGAAACCCTTGTTTGTTGGGGGTATTATAAAAATTTAAAAAAAAAAAAAAAAAAACCCAAACAAACAAGACAAAGATTGGTTTTGCAAATTATAGAAATGATTGGTACTAAAAGGTAAGAAAGTGTCGTGTTGTATGGGACTGAGTCCTGTGTGACAATAAAGTGCCAACGTTACTAAAAGGTAAGTTTTATAGAGCAGTGGTTAGGTCTGCCATGTTGTATGGGACGGAGTGTTGACCGGTTAAGAACTCACACAGCCAGAAGATGAAAGTAACAGAGATGAGGATGTTGAGGTGGATGTGCGAGCATACAAGGATGGATAAGATTAGGAATGAAGATATTCGAGAGAAGGTGGGCGTGGCCCCCATGGAGGACAAGATGCGGGAAGCAAGACTCAGATGGTTTGGGCACATTCTGAGGAGGAGCACTGATGCACCGGTGAGGAGGTGTGAACGACTGGCTGTGGTGGGCACGAGGAGAGGTAGAGGGAGACTTAAGAAGTATTAGGGAGAGGTGATTGGGCAGGAAATGGCGCGACTTAGGATTACTGAGGACATGGCCCTTGACAGAGAATTGTGGAGGTCGAGCATTAAGGTTGTAGGCTAGGGGGAAGTTGTGAGTATTTCTACAGCGCCCTAGAGTGAGACTAGCCAGTTAGGAGTTAGTCTTAGGATGCTACTGGTCAGCTACTGATGCAGGGCTTTATCTGCTGGATATTATTGTATCTTCCATCTTTTTCGTATTTCTTATATTTCTTATATTGTTATTTTTTATTTTATGCTATGTTATGTTATTTTATGTTATTTTATTATGAGTCTACTGATAGTACTAATATATCGTCTCTTGTTGCTTTCTTAAGCCGAGGGTCTCCTGGAAACAGCCTCTCTACCTCTCGGGGTAGGGGTAAGGTCTGCGTACATATTACCCTCCCCAGACCCCACTTGTGGGATTATACTGGGTTGTTGTTGTTGTTGATTGGTGTTATCTGATTTGGGGTTGTTTATCCTTAATTTCTTTCAAAGGCCTAATGCTAGCTGACGAGGGTTCAAGTTCATAAGATATGTTCAATTGCAAATTAGCCAAATTGTTTTATTTCTAAGACCTAAAATAATGATTGAAGCTGAATATAGACAGTCTTAACCAGTTTGTTGGTGGGAGATCAACTGGTTCGGAACACCTAACTTGGATGTATCAAAAACTAATAAAAGTTTGCAGTGGTTGTGGATCGTTAATTTTTTTCTCTCTTCTTACACGCATAGTATCTAGGAAAATTAAAAGATTTAGGTGAAAACATAAACCTGTTACCACCTAGTACCACCTCAAGGTTCACAACTGAAAGAGGGTGAGATAATAAGTTTCAAACTGGGGTGCGGATATCCAGTATGGGTGCGGATCTAGATGTGGGATTCTTCATCACTTAAATTTTAGGATTCTAGGATATGGTTCGTAGTGTGGATACAAGGGCTGGAATATGGCCAATAAATGTAGTACGACACATAATTATATATTTCGATTAATTAAAGTTATTGAGCTAAAATTGAATATTCAATCAATCTTTATTTCTTGATCAAAGATGTAGTCAAAGCACCCAAGGTACGTTGAGTCATGCTCTTTTTTATTTTTATGAAATGCGAATTATCTAGGCACAAAGCCAAACAAGTCCAGATTAAGTCAAGTTCTTGCTCTATTTTTTGATATTTTAGCCTAACTCATTGATTAAGAATTAAGAGACTTGCTGAATTTAGTACCAAAAAACCCCCTCTTGGCGAGAAGTCAAGAAATCTACACCAAAAAAATGAATCTAATTAGGTTAATTTAAGGGATAGAGAATATGAGATAGGGAATATAGATTCTTTTGCATCTCGATTCAGTTTTACTCTGGTGTGGATCCCACACCCATGACCAAATCATGTTGGATCGACACAGGTGTAGCCGGGATTTTGAAAGGTCTAAGCAACATAGGTGAGAATGGTTAAGTTGGTTCCTCGCGCTACAGATTAAAAGCAATGTTGAAAAGAAGTGAAGTGTTCAGTAGCATGTGTTATATAAGTAATATGCACTAAACATGTCAAAAATTAGGGGTTGCAAAGGTTTACTTCTTTACTTTATAGCTATGAGTAAACTTGTCAAGTTTATTTGAAGGTACTTGGTATCTAGTGCTGGTACACCCAAAGAGGGTAGCCCGACTATCAAAGAGCTAGTCAGTGGCATATTAGGTGAATTTGTCCCATTTGTCTTAAACTTTGGTGGACAAAGTTATTGATTGCATGTGTTGGTGGAGAGTTGCATGTGCTCCGTGGATTAGTCGAGGTGTGGGTAAGTTGCCTGATTACCACTAGCAAAGAAAGGTTATCTAGTGCTGACACTTTTCATTTGATGGAATGTAAAGACTCCATCAGGTACTCTTAGAATATATATTTTCTTTCATTGGCCGAGGAAACCATGTGCAGGCGGCTAGAAATGTAGTACATTAAGAAGTAGAACATAGTTTTCTTCTTGGATCTGATTGAGAACTCTTGGGCGAGCCAGAGAAATGCTGGGACAAAATTTGAGTTAGGGTTTATGTTGACTAGCTTGATTGTAGGAAACTTAGTTTTAGGAGATTTGATTACGTTGACTAGATTGATTGTAGGAAACTTAATTTTAGGAGATTCGATTCTGTTCTAGGAGATTTTATTCTAATTGATTTGTGTAATAACTGTAATTGACTTTCTTTCCTAAATTAGCCATAGGAACCTCGGTATAAATACTAGTGCCTATTGGATGTAAAAACATACTGAAATACAAGAGGTTTCATTCTTCTTCGTGAAAAAGATGCGTGATGGGAGATGCTTGTGTGTTTGATTTCTTACGCAATTTGCCTCCAGCATTGATAGGTTTCTGATCAGAGTAAAGATGTAAATGAATTGTTGGTTTCCTCTTGTAGATAGTATAAAAACATTTAGTTTATATAGTATGTAAACTAATTACAAGGCTGCTGGTAGCAGAAGAATTTTCTGCCCCTTGTAGGTATAATAGGAATCACTTATTTGAATCCATTTAGTCTGTTTTCCTTCACGATTAGCCAAATTGTGTTTGTGGAAGGCTTCTAAGGAGAAATTAAGAGAGAAGAATGTAGAAAATGTTATGCTTGTCACCCTGAATCGTGAAAGATGCTATAAAGTTTGAGGGGAAGCAGTCTTTAATCAGTTTTCTGAGAGTTCTCTTAATTTCACACGGAAGTAACTGGAAATACTAGATAATTAGATTCACCAAAATGTTTAAGAATACACAATATGTCATTACTTTTATTTGAAAAAGTATATTATTATTATTATTGTGATTGTTTGATTATTAATCTAAACACTTTGGTTTCTCTATCAGGTGTGAAGGAGAACATGTTCTCTCTCAATATGGGCGCGGCACCAGAATTACCTTGTGCTCTCTCTCTTCTGTCAAATAAATCTTCATCCGAGCCTGAATCTACTTCAATTGGCCACCCCACACATGTAAACCAGATCAGCATAACGGAGCAGGTGATTCCTGAGAATTTGCCACTTGGGTCCACTGATCTCTGGCAGGCTGAGCAATATCTACTCAATCCACGCATTCATGCTTTGGTTGCTAATGGTTATAGTGGTGGTAGCTTTCAGCTTTCCAAAGATCCATTTGACAATTTCTATTTCAATGGGTTGATGAACTGACACTGGGGATACTATTCAACGAACCCCTCAACGTCAGGATTGGATTTCAGTTTTTGGCTTTGCCATCTCCATTTAAGCAGGAGTTGTTAAACTGGGACCCTAACCAGATGGTTCATAAGTAGGGTACTGGAAGCACTCTGTCATTCTAAAGTGGCAGAACACATGTACATGGAGTTCTGGACATTGAACATCCCATCTTGGGAAAAAAACTTTTGATTGAAAATGTGCAGTAAAATCTTTGATAAGAAAAACTTAAATCAACAACAGGAGTTTCGAAGAGTTGTAATGTTTTCTTGTTTCTGCACTTTGACATGATGTTACCACACAGATTTGATGTGTGGTATCTAAAAATCTCAAGACAGTTAGATTTATCTAAAATCGTTCTGAATTGTGGATGTAGGATTTGGTTGAATCTGGTTTTACCGTCTTTTTGTGTAGATGTATTGGCATTAAGTAATCAGTAGTCTTCATTTCTCTATGCTTGTGGATGTTTGTACCCAAGCTTATGATTATCTTTCCCTAGATCTACATAGGGGATCAAGAAATGAAAAGGAGGAAGGGAATAGTGAGAATTGAACTCATACTTATTGTTCAAAGACTTTCACGAGTACCGCTAGACTATAAAACTTACCCTTAAAACATTTCAGAGTTAAAGTTGGATCAATCTTGTTTGCAATGAGACTAATCCCCCTCCAATGCTGACGTGACAAATACTAATTTGGTAAAGTATATGATGAACTTCCAAGGATTATTATTGAAAACTTGGTTTTTATGTGTAGCTCAAGTAAAAAGCTGTTTTCCGCTCACAAATTTTTAACTTTCGCACGAAGTGACTAACACAACTGCTATGTAGGAGCACAAAACGAAGGATACTCCGAGCGCAGGGATGACTATTCACTAATGAGTAAAACCACATTAGTTTGAAAATGAAAGATTCTGCTTCATTTAAGGATAGACGTGATGAATGATTAACTAATAGAATGTTTAGTTTAATGGATATATAAGAAAAGGAAAGTTAAATTACAGTATGAACGACATACTCTCTTCCATTCTATACAAAAAAGTAGTTTACAGAAAGTATTTCATCCTGACATCTCTCTTCATGGCCTTGTATACAGCTTGAACCTGGATGAGGGCGACAAGTCATACAATAGATTATGATTCACAAATTTAAGGTACAAAGGATAATAATACCTGCTCACTAGAAACAACTTGAATGGGTCCGATATTTACTGATACATATTTCCCCCCTGAAGATAGCTTCTGCCTCACCTGGCCCTGCATAGAAGCACAAATACCTTAAGATATGGGTCCAATCCAGTTCTCCCTTGTCACACACATTAAGGTACAATCCACTTCACATTCTCACACAATGTGTATTGTTAATTACAGAAAGCACATAGGAAAGAGGCTCAGAGACATAAAGATTCACACATACACAATCTAGAGCAGGTTGTTATACCGACCTAAGGTATTCTGGCCAGTAAATTATTTATTGCAGTCCATATAGTTAACTACTCGATTTGCTGTGCTGAGAAAACAGACATCCCTTTGTAATGCCTACCTCTTTATGTGAAGCGCAGACATTTCTGTTACAGATGCAGACATAAGAAAGACAACTTTTCCCCAAAGATTAGGACATGAAACAATGAGGATTTAACCTGATGTATCTTTTTAATAACCGAGAAATTCGCTATTTACAGTTTTGAAGCTCGGTGGGTTATGGGTCGGCTCCTCTGCTTTTATCTGCTTAAATATCAAACTTGATTCAAAGCATGATTTGAATGTGATCAGCATCAACCAAACGTCCGTGCTGAAATACCTTTACTGTTTAATCAAAGCTCTGAGGACTATGAAAACCAATGCATTTTACTAATTGCGAGAAAGCATGGGAAAAAAATATGTTATTGACTTGTTCAATTATAATATAATGAGCCTTATTTATACAATACATATCCTATTTAGGGATGGCAATGGGACGGGGCGGGTTTGGCAAAACCCACAAAAATTTCAACCCGCCCCGCCCTGCCCCACTTAATTTCTCTTTTATTTTTTCTTTAATTTTTTTAGCTGAAATGACAGTATATTAAGACAAAAGGCTAAAAGGCTACCCACAGTCAATGTCATGTCGATGTTCTTCAGTTAATTAATGGCTAAAAGGCTTATACCAGTTTGAAGAAAGCTTATAAATAAATAAGTAAAAGATGGAATGAATAAATGCAAAAGAATATGAGAAATATTATGGTAAAAGATTTTTTTCAAAGTGCTGTGCAGAAAAATGGATATGCAGATTAGAAAACATACACAAATTTAAGTTTAAACTGTTAATCTATACAGTAACAAAGTGATAACTACGATTCAAGCAAACTCCTAAATTTTTTATAAAACTAAGACAAAATGCAAAACAAATAAAGTAAGAACTGGATCATTTCTAAATTCTAATCCAGGGTACTAAAATAAATCTAATCATGATCTGGAAATTTCCAAATAGTATCTTAAATTCTTCAGTAGACCCACTTCGGCTTAATTTTGGTTCATCCAGAATTTCATACTCTCTTCAGCTTAATTTTGGTCCATCCAGAATTTCATACTCTCTTTTAATTAATTGCCCCAAAAAAAAAAAGGGTCAGCCCATAAAAGACCAAGTTATTCTAAGATGCCAAGTTAGGAATTAAGATTGATTTTATGATGAAGTGGATTAATTTAATTCAAGTCAGCTTTTTTATTCAAATTAAAAGAATGTGAAATTGTAGTTGAAATGATTGCTTTGTTTCAAAAAACTAAAATTCAAAGTTGTCCCGCATTGAACCCGCATTAAACCCACAACCCGCTCCGCTTTAAAAAATTTTAAAACTGTTTTAACCCGCCCCGCCCCGCATCAAACAAAACCAGCCCAGCCCCGCACCTACCCAGCCCCATTGCAATCCCTAATCCTATTCCTATTATATGTAGGACTAGGACTATTTACATATTATTTACATAATTATCTAACACTCTCCCTCAAGCTGGTGCATACAAACCATATGTACCAAGCTTGTTACAGATGTAACTAATACGAGGATCAGTGAGGGACTTGGTGAAAATATGATCATTCGACTTCACAAACTTTGTAGCAATATCTCCGGAGAGTATCTTTTCTCTGACGAAGTGACAGTCAATCTCAATGTGTTTAGTTCTCTCATAGAACACCGGATTTGATGCAATATGAAGGGCGGTGTGATTATCATGCATAATTTCCATCTTGCTGATCTCACCAAATTTCAACTCCTTGAGCAACTGTTTGATCCGAACTAGCTCATATGTTGCCACAGCCATTACCCAATATTGTGCTTCTGCACTATACCGAGCACCCACATTCTATTTTTGCTCTTCCAAGATACCAAATTACCTCCTACTAAAACACAATATCCATCAGAAAGTGATCCGGCCCAATCAACATCTAAGTATCTAACGATCTGCTCATGGTCTCAATTCTCAAACAATAATTCTTTGCCCAGAGCTGATTTTATATACCGAAATATGCGGATTACTGCATCTCAATGACTATCACATGGAGAAACCAACCGACTCACAACACTTAAGGGAAAGAAAATATCAGATTTAGTCACTTGTGAGGTAATTTAATTTACCAACCAGTCGCTTATATCTTGCAGGATCACTAAGCGGCTCCCCATGTCCTGACAGAAGTTTAGAATTCGGATACATAGGGGTGTCAACTGGTCTACAAGCTGTCATTCTTGTCTTCTCAAGAATGTCCAAAGCATACTTCCCTTGTGAGATCACAATACCTGAGCTAGACTGAGCGACCTCAATACCTAGAAAATACTTTAATCTGCCCAGATCATTAGTTTGAAAGTGTTGAAAAAGATGTTGCTTCAACTTAGTAATACCATCCCGATCATTAGCGATAATAACAATATTGTCGACATAAATCACAATATAAATGCAAAGATCTGAAGCAGAATGCCGATAAACACAGAGTGATCAGCTTCACTAGAAGTCATGCCAAACTCCTGAATAACTGTGCTTAACTTACCAAACCAGGCTCGAATAGACTGCTTTAGAACATAGAAGGACCGGCGCAACCAACATACAAAGCCACTAGACTCACTCTGAGCAACAAAACCAGGTGGTTGCTCCGTATAAACTTCATCCTTAAGGTCACCGTGAAGAAAAATATTCTTAATGTCTAACTGATAGAAAGGCCAATCGCGAACAACAGCTATGGATAGAAAAAAACGGACTGGTGCTATTTTAGCCACGAGAGAGAGAGTATCACTGTAATCGAGCCCAAATATCTGAGTATACCCTTTGGAAACAAGATAAGCCTTTAGTCAATCAACCAGGCCATCTAGACCAACTTTGATTGCATACACCAACGACAACCAACAATGTATTTACCTGAAGAAAGAGGAACAAGCTCCTAAGTACCACTAGTATGTAAAGCATATATCTCGTCAGTCATAGCCTGTCGCCATCCTGGATGAGACAGTGCTTTACCTATAGACTTAGGGATGAAAATATAGGACAACGATAACACAAACAAATAATGGGGTGATGATAGACGATGATAACTTATGTAGGACTAGAATTAAGTGTGGACCGTATACCTTTCCGAAGTGCAATCGGTGGACTAGGAGGAGACAAATCCGCAGTAGAAGAAGGGTCAGGTGCAGGACGTGAATCAACTAGGTATGATGCTGGGCACGAATGACAATGATAAGTCAAGAATAGTGTTCCTGTGGCTGGGGATCTACGAGAAGCAACACTAGATTCCTCAACGGTTGGTATAGGTAAGACTTCTGTAGCTGAGGATGTCGGCGGAGCTGTAGTAATCTCCGCAAAAGTCGGTATAGGTAAGACCTCAAATATATCAAGGTGGTCAGCAACGGTAAAATAGGGTCTAGACTCAAAAAATGTGACATCAGCTGACATAAGGTACGTAACGAAGATTAGGTTAGTAGCAATGTTATCCCTTTTGAACACGAGAATAACCAAGGAAGAGATACTTAAGAGCACGAGGAACTAACTTATCTTTCCCGGGGGCTAAATTTAGAACAAAACATGTGCTCCCAACTAAGGTTACAGCAAAAACAATACTGTATACGGAATTTGATTCTAAATGGGAGATGAAGGCATTCGATTAATCAAATAACAAGCCGTGAGAACTGCATCACCCCAAAAACACAACGGAACATGAGACTCATGAGAAGTGTGCGAGTAGTCTCAGTGAGATGCCTATTCTTTCTCAATGCACCCTCGACTTTTCAGTCATTCATGAATGATATTTTCCGGATCATTTGCGGAAATTTATTTTAGTATTTTTTGATGATATTTTGAATTACAGAAGAGACTATGCTTCTCATCTTGAACATTTGAAGGTTGCTTTATCTCAAACAGAACCAACTAGTAATCAACACATAGAAGTGCATGTTTTGGGCAACTTAAACTTGAATATTT